CTTCAAGTACAGCATACCATGCCGACTACCGTCGGACTCTCCCTGCCTCATTCTTGTCGGATGGTAGCTACTCATGTTGCATGTATGCGAGAATGAGATCCATCAAGCAAGGTTCAGCTTGGACGGGGCACACTTGCCTTTCTTCGATGTTAGGATGTGTCAAGCTCTCGATGTGCACAGTGTGGCCGAGGGCCGACTCTAAATAGCTTGCAAGTTATCATAGGGCATCAGCTCGTGTGTTCTCGGCTTGTGGGACCTAGTGTAGACCGAAGTGTCGGAAGTGGTCGGTAAGCTCTCGGACTTTGTTCAAGTATTTGGCCATATTTGGCTCTCTGGCCTCATACTCTCTATTCATGTGGTTCACAACCAATTGTGAGTCGTTGAAGGCCTCAATGTGCTTGGCTCTGAGGTCTTTTGCAAACTAGAGGTTGGCTAGCAAGGCCTCGTACTCGGCTTCGTTGTTGGAAGGAAACCAAACTACAATGCATATTCCAGCTCGTTATCATCCGGGGTGAGAAGTATGAGATCGGCTCCGCTTCCCTTGGCATTAGAGGATCCATCTACAAACAAGGTCCAGGTCGGCAACTACTCCTCATTCTCAGTCGCTTGGTTGTGGTCATTGTTGAAAGTGCACTCAACCAAGAAGTCTGTCAATGCTTGTGCCTTTATTGTAGGTCTCGATTGATAGTGTAGGTCAAACTCCGACAACTCGATGGCCCACTTGTTTAGTTGACTCGAGGTCTTAGGCTTTGTAAGCACCGATTAGAGGGGTTGGTTGATCAACACTAAGATGTTGTGGGCTTGAAAGTAAGGTCTCCGATTCTTAGCCGAGATCACTTGTGCAAATGCTATTTTCTATACTTCTGGGTATCTGGTCTTGGCCTCGTGTAGCACATTTCTGACGTAATATACTGGCCTCTGAACTCCATTGTCTTCCCGAACCAACACCAAGCTAACTGCCTCGTCCCTAGCCGAGAGGTATAAGAATAATGTTTCTCCCAAGAGGGGCTTCGTGAGTAATGGTGGTGTTGCAAGGTAGGACTTTAACTCCTCGAAGGCTTTCTAGAAATCTTCTATCAATTGGAAATCCTTCAACGTCTTAATGGCTCGAAAGAAGGGTAAGCACCAGTCAATCGACTTGGACATGAATCGACTGAGGGCCCAGACTCAGCCTGTGAGCGATTGGATTTCTTTCATTGACCGAGGGGGCTCCATGTCCAGTATAGCTTGTATCTTCTTACAGTTGGACTCTATGCCTCGTTGGGTGACTACAAAACCTAAGAATTTTCCCGAGGTGATCCCAAAGGCGCATTTGGTGGGGTTCAGCTTCATCAATGTAGGCCTCAACATTTCTCCCCATCTGTTCTTTGAAAATCTTGTTCACCAATCTTTGGTAAGTGGCCCTGGCGTTCTTCAGTCCAAAAGGCATCACCTTGAAACAATAGGTGTTGTGTTCGGTGATGAATGAGGTCTTTTCCTCGTCAATCGGATGCATCTTTATCCGGTTGTAGTCGGAGAAAGCATCCATGAAGTTTAGTAGCTCATACCTTGTAGTGGCATCGACGAGGTGATCAATCCTTGGCAAAAGAAAGCTATCTTTGGGGTAGACCTTGTTGAGATCTATGAAGTTAGTGCATATGTGTCATTTCCCATTATCTTTCTTAACCATGATCACGTTAAATAGCCATTTAGGGTAGTGTACCTCTTTTATGAAGTCGGCGTTGAGTAGCTTGTCCTTCTCTCTGATGGCTTTTCAACGCTCTGGTGCAAAGTTTCTTTTCTTTTATCGAACCAGCCTACAACTCGAGTCCACACTCAGCCTGTGGGTAATGAACGAGGGGTCAATTCCTGGCATATTAGCGGTGGACCAAACAAACAAGTCGGTATTGGCTTTGAGGAAGCTTACCAGTTCAGAAAGTATGTTCTAAGGAAGGCAAGACTTGACTCTACCGTTTTTTCGGGATCGGCCTCATCTAGGGGAACCGTGATGAGGTTCTCGGCTGGATAGTCTCAATTGGATGGTTCGTCCTTGAGGGAAAGCCCCTCCAGTGGTAGGGTTTCCTTGTTCTTGTGTTTTAGCGCTGCAACGTATCATTATCTAGCAGCTTGCTGGTAAGACGAGACCACCACCTTGAGTGCGTGAAGGGTCCGGCCTCCCCATGATAGCATTGTAAAGTGAGCGTATCTTCATGACCAAGAACTCAGTCATTCAAGTGACGTGCTGAGGTTCAGTCCTTATAGTAACCAGTAGGGTTATTTTTCCTTCGAGTCTAGCAACTGCTCCGGAGAAGCCGACGAGTGGCACGTCAACAGGCTGCAGTCAGTTCAGTGTCAGCTACATCTTTTCAAATGTCTTATAGAACAGGATATTAGCTAAGGAGCCATTGTCTATGAGGATTCTTTTCACCATGTAGGGCAATGGTCAGTGACACCAACAACGCGTCATCGTGGGGCACAAATACTCCCTGTAGGTCATCGCCTGAGAAGGAAATGGGGTCTTTCGATCTCGGCCTCTTCGGTGCTTGGCTCTAGATATTGTACTAGCGGGCGTATGCTTTCCTAGACGAGGTAGATGCTCCTCACGAGGCCGAGCCTCCAACTATGACTTTAATGACTTTGACCGGGGGCGATGATTGTAGGGCTCAGCCTATGGTTTCTGCGAGGATGATGTTGGGGCATCACCTTCAACAAAATACTTTATGTGCCCACGATGGATGAGAGACTTGATCTGTAGCAGTCCTCAGTGCATGACCAGTGTTGCGGTGGTACTTGCACTACTTCTTAGGGTTCCCCTTATCAGGTTCCTCTTCAATTTAGCAAACCACTTCATGAATTCTTCCTTCCCTACTTGCATCAGTATGTGTGTTCCAGATGAGTTTAGCAGCATGTACTTATTGAAGGAAGAGGCCAATGACTTCTTCTCTCCACATTTGTTGGCGGGACCGTCGCCGCGATCATCCCTTTCCTTCCTCTTCTTGTCACTAGGTCCTCTGCTAGCCTCGGCCTCTAGTTCTTGGAGGCATTTGTTAGCTTCGGCCTCTTTGGTGGTGATGTACTTCTGAACCTTCTTCAAGAGAACTTGGCTTTAGTCTTGGGAAAAGTCTTGGAAATGGACCAACTAAGGGGTCTAGGCCGGAGTCCACTAATGGATGCATGCATGGAGACCGAGGGGTCAAGGTCCTTGACCTCGAGTTCTTCCTGGTTGAACCTCTTCATGTATGCCCGAAGGCTCTCGTCACCCTTCTGCTTGACAGACATCTGAGAGATGACGGTTTTCTAACACCACCGGCTGCTCATAAAGTGACCTAGGAAGAGGTCTGCGAACTGTGACCAAGAGCCGATGAAGTGTGGAGGTAGTGTAGAGAACCATCAGCGTGCTAATCCCTTAAATGTGGCTTGGAAAGCCCAACACATGAGGGTATCGGAGTATCCATGTAGGAGCATGAGGACCCAAAAGCTTTCTAGGTGGTCATCAGGGTCTGTACTCCCATCATAGGTCTCCAATGTTTGGGGCCTTGAAATTTGGTGGGAGGGCAGCTAGTGGAGGCATTACCTTGGCCCTCCTTTACCTATTGAAGCTGGTCCTGAATGGCGCCAATATGCTCTTGAATATCTCTGAGGCGTGGTCGATGTATGGCACCGTTGCTTCGGCTTGGTCTCGGTTCTCTCTCATGTGGGATGGGTTGGCCCCATTCCCAGAGTGCTTGGACGTTGGCATGTCCTGAGCCTTGCAGGCATGACGATCATTAAGGAGGTCGCGAAGGTCAGAAACTAGTGGGTTAGAGGTGTGGTGTCGGCCTCCTACCCTTGGAGGGGGACTGTAGTGGCCCGAGTGTCTATCGTCATCCCGACTGGTCGCCTCACAATGGTGTTGACAACCGAGATTCTTTTGCTTGGCATGGAACCCCACGAGGTCGGCCCCTTAGCTAGGGAGCCGAGGGGTCTTGGAACGGGGTTTTCCAGCCCGTCAGCTATTGCTGTCTAACTCTGAGGGGTCGGCTCTCTCCGGGCCGCCCTAGCTTTGGCTTATCGAGGTATAGGCAGATTGCCTGCTATGTTGTCCATGGCCTCCGATAGGGCAGCCACCCTGTGGGTGGCTTCTTGTCAGACGCCCTATGTTGTCCAATCGTTGGGCCAGGTTGTCCAGCCAGTTTAGGACTAGTTCGAATTGGTCAATTGTGACTAAGTTCTAGACATCAGGGATGGGGTCTTGCTTGTCAGTCATTTCAATGACACTAATTGATTAAATTAGGTTTATTTTTTTTTCTTAAGGGAAAGTTTTGAATACATTCTCACACACGGCGCCAATTATTGCTACCAAATATGGAGCCGAGTGCAACAATATAATTTCTAGCATCCGAGCCCGACGGGTCTAACCTGCTGAGAGAAAGGTGTCAGAGGCCCCGAGAGTTATCCTAGGGACAAAGACTACGACAATCAAATTAATAGAAAGTTGCAAGGGGTCATACTAAGCAAGAGAGGTGACTTAAAACTTAGGTTCTTGTGTGTTTACCTCAATGTCGGAGCCCTTAGAGTTGCAGAGCAGGTGGCGACAAATAGCAATAGTTGGTGATGAACGGCTTGGATACCCAGCCAACGCCACATGTCAAGATCCTCGAATCGGCCTGATATTCCTACATCATTTAGGGTTTTATTTTTTTCTAGTTTAGGTCTTATGTACTACCATAATTTTGCATAAAGAACGGAAATGATTCTCCGTGCATACGTTAGTTCACCCAGCCGTGCCATGTATCCGGCACGGCAGCACCTGGACGCCTTAAGACTCCACGAGTCACAGCGAGAAAAGAAAAAAAAAAGTAAAAAAAAGGTCAACCATGTCATACTCTTGTTTCTTCATAAGATTCCAATCCAAGTGGCAGCAAACAAAAGATCTACGTTTCATGGTGCCAGATGGCAGCAAAGCAATCCGTATCCAGTATCTACATGTGGCATGCACGATGAGAGTTTGAAACGGTAAACGATCCTCATGATGATGGTGATGTTGTTGTTGAGTGATGAAGAAAGCCCGTCAGCCGCCTGAACATTCAGATCAGATGTTCCTACGAGGCTACGACGATGAAATGAAAACAGAACATCAGTCTTCGTTTAATTTAATTTAAAAACATTCAATTGTTTGGTTCAGTGCAGAGGATTTTTCAATGCCTGTTGATAGGCTGTGAACCTTCAGTTAATGGCGACGTCGTCGAGATTGACGCCCAAGCAGAGATACGCGGCAGGGGCTCTTCTCGCTCTTGCTCTTCACCAGGCTCAGATCCACCAGGCCCGCCTTTTTATTCTCCCGGACGAAGAGACTACCAATGGGCGTACAAACAACGGCAGGGGTAGTGATTCTCCCTCAGAGGAGCCTCAACTCTGGATCCACGAAAACTCCGGTCTCCTCCGCCCTGTATTCAGGTCTCTTCTATTTTCATCTTTATCTTCTTTCAAACGAATCGTTGAAATACGAGTGCTTGAAACAACTTAAATGAGATTACTTGTGTTTTGGCTTAATTGTGATTCACCATTGTTCATGCCTTCTTTCAAAAGTTTTCAGTCTAAGCTAATTTCTGCAATGAACGTCGAATAGTTTGAATTTTATCCCGTAAGATGCTTAGTTTAGAATTTAAATTGTGAAAGTGTGTTATGTTCATTTTGGCTGGGGTAATGACTTTTTTCTTTTCTTTTTTTTTAATCTTGGAAGCTAGGCTATACTATTAAGCTCTGATTGGACGTACTTTTCCCCACCCGACTTTTGAGAATTACCCGATTATATTTTGATTGGTTTCCTTCATCAATTTAGTAGTTTGTATTGTACTGTAAACAGGTTGTGGAGCATTTCGGTTAATTGTTTTTATTATTTTTATGTTATAAACAGGTCCCTAGAGATAGACTGTGAAGACTGGCCTCGTTTGGAGGAAACTGCTCGATTCTCTCCAGCCAAGGATCATGTTGGAGCTGTATCTCTCTCTCTCTCTCTCGTCATTCATGCCTTTGAAACATCGTGTTGAATATTATAGGAAATATGATTTTCTTTGTGAATGAGTGCTTAATGACCACAAAGAAGAGGTTGACTATGCCTTGGAATCCATAATAGAACTTATACACTTTCTTCCTTGGGAAATAGTGTTGAAAGGTATATTATTTCATTAATAAGTATTTTGGTTCAAAGGGCCAAATGCAATTGTGAAAAAATTTTGAAATGACAACAAAACATGGTGGGTAGAACTTGACCTGTATATTTTGGCACGTTATATTTCAGAAGCTTGAAATGACAACAAAAAAACTACATGCTGGCAGTTTTCCTCTCCCTGTTGATTTAGAACTGAAATGTGTCAATTGAATGCCCGGTCTCAGTTTTTCTAACATTTCTGGTGTTTTGTTCTCAGCTTTCAACCTTGGGTGCTAAGAAAACAACAGTGTACTGGCAGTTTCCTTTCTTTCTGTAAATGTAGAAAGGAAAAGTATTAATCGAATGCCCGGTCTCAGATCTAAAAGTTGGAAGTCGTGTTTGATTCTCAGCTTTTAATCTTTGGGTTTTTTTTTTGCCTTTCAGGTTTTACTTTTATTTTATCCTACACAATCTTCCCCATCGTAGGTTTCACTTTGTTCTGAAAAACGAGGTCCAATTTTCTCACCTAAAAAAGTTCCTGAATCAAGTTGAGAAATTTTTTTCCACCTGACTTGTATATCTCAGGCACTACAGTTCTCAGGTCTTTTAGAACAGCTTACTTTGAAGATAAGTAATTAAATTCAAGCTCTTAGAAAAAAGAAATAAAATGAGATGAAATGAGAACTTACGTGTTATTAATGCAGTTTCATATCTGACTAGATGATATAACCTCCATTCTAGCTTTTGTACAGAGAATCATGAAGTTTATGACCATTTTTCATTGATGGAAAAACTTTATATTTGGAGAACTATAAAAGGTGAAATACCATTATAGAAAAATGTCAGTTCCTTCACCTGAGTAAACTAGTGTACGTTATCATGTAGATACTAAACAATATGTGCTATTTTATCATGTCTTTGGGCCTCTCAATTTGTGACTATGAGTAACCAATATGTTTCTCCTTTTGAGAATGTTTGGAGTTATGAGACATTAGTAGTCTTTTTTAACATTGAGAGACTTTGTATAGCTCTTTTACAATGTTTTTTATTGGATGTGTAACAGCTTGGGTTCTTCCCTCTTAACTTTTCACTAACTGCAGTTATACATCTTTAATTAATTATTGATGGCTATGCTACCACAGTTGTTAAGGTTACTTTCAAAAGAAAATGGTGAAACTTCCTCAGAAAGGTTGGACCAGGAACTTGCTTTGACAAAAGCTGTTGATGCTATGGAAATGAAAATGCAAACAAAAATTGTTTCTTCCGAGGGTAAAAGAGAAGTGAAACACCTTGAGTATGAACAAAAATGCCAGGAGAGAATCTCTACTGAAACCTCTGAAGCACCTGATGTGCCCACTGAAACCTCTCAGCATACAAGTTCCTACACATTGTCCAACAAAGAAGATGCTTCTGACAAATCTACCAAGGGATTTGAGGAGAAACCTATTGAAGAGGAAACACTTCTCAGTTATGAAAGGAAGGTAGCATTTCTATATGAGCTTCTTTCTGCCTGTTTAGCAGGTACACCTGAAGATGACAAGAAAGATACTCAGCTAAGAAAAGGTTATGATGCTCGACATCGTGTGGCTCTGCACTTGCTAGCAACATGGCTAAATTTCAAGTGGATCAAAATGGTTTGTCAGCCAAAAAGTGTTTCTATTTGTATGATACTTATGTATGATTGTAGTTCAAATTGCTGCTTCTTTGCCTCCTTTACATGGGTGGGGCATATAGGGGGTGTTTGTCAATAATGTCATGTCAGAAAAGCACTGCTACATCAGAAGAAAAAACAGTTGCTTTTTTCCGATGTGGCTGTTGTTTTTTGTTTTAAGAAACAACATCCATATTGGGGAAAAACCTTAATATATGTTTTTTAAGAAACAGAAAAGCAATCATCCAGATTGTGGGATTCAATTGCATGAAGTCCTTGCAAGCTTAATATATTTAATCTCAGAGGGAAAAGGCCTCTTTAAAGCATCAAAGATGTCCTAACCATTCACCTTGGCACCATTGGTACCACACTGATTATAGTACCTGTTATATGTAGACAGGTACAAAGGGCCATTCTATGTCAGACATCTTAGCTAGATGTTGGATGAAAAGGGCCATTTTGGTTAGTAAATCCTCTCATATACAATTTTTTGCCATATATTAGTAAATATCTCATTCGCCTTTAGGCCTTTTAAAAAATCAGTGGTGATTGAACGAAAGAAATAGAAGAAACATCAAGCAACAATTTGATCCAAGTGAGAATTTCAAAGCAGAGAAACATGCAATCCTGTTCTGCAAGTGTAGTTCATCCATTATGTTAGTTGTCAACTCCTAGTTTTGCAAACCATGGGTGTGTAGTTTGAAATAGAAGAACAATAGATGGAAAGACAAAAGAGAAGTCATCAAACTTTATTTATCACATTCCTTTTAACAAACCAATTATAGATTCATCTGGTCTATTCGTGGCTATGAATATCTAAAATCATATCCAAATGCTTTTTTTCAGAAATGTTTGTATCCATGTTATGGAAAAGTTGGCATATATTCAATTATTAAAGTAAAAGAAATGATGTAAGCTGGTCTAAAAACATCCAGTGAGCCTAAGGATAAAGAAAAAATAGAAGAAGATTGAACAAGTATGTGAAACCAATATCAAGACAAAAAATATTTGCAAACCAGAAGTTGTTGATCACCCTTGGATCAGTTTCCTGCTATCTATGTTAAAAATTTGTCATCAAGAGGATTTATGGGTCTTGTATCATCATTTTAGATTAGCCATGCTATAAGGATCCAATACTGTTAGAAGAGACCATAAGCATTTTTATCATCAGGGAATTCTGTTTTTATGTCTTTGATTGACTTAGATATTATGGCATTCTGGCATTGCGTGAACAAAATCTTTTTTTATGGGTAAGTTAGGTTATACATGTCTGTAATATTTAAGTTTGTTATCCTTTTCAATAAGTACTTACAAAAACATTTGACTGTTTGACACTCTGAACTATAATACATGTCTATTAATAAACCCTTTCTGATTTTTAGGAAGCTATGGAGGTAATGGTTGCTCTCTCTGCAATAACTCTAATGAAAAATAAAGAAGAAATGGAGGAAACCAAGTCCCCAGAAAATTCATGGGATAGATGGAAACGTGGAGGCATTATTGGAGCAGCTGCATTGACTGGAGGGACCTTGTTGGCCATCACTGGTGGTACGACATACTTAGCTTATCTTCTTACAATTTCACAAATTAGAGATTTCTTTGGAATTTCTGATGATGCTTCCAAGCTTTTACTTCATATATCATTGCTTAACAGGTCTAGCAGCTCCAGCAATTGCTGCGGGCTTTGGTGCATTAGCTCCTACATTGGGAACTCTTGTACCTGTGATTGGAGCAAGTGGATTTGCTGCTGCTGCGAGTGCTGCAGGGTCAGTTGCTGGTTCTGTAGCCGTTGCTGCATCATTTGGAGGTGAATCAGTGGTTTTATCAATTTGGTTATATCAAAGGCTTGTATATTGAATATGGAATTCTTTATATATCTTTTGAAACACATCGGACAATACCGATGCTTCAGTAAATCTACTGCTGATAAAAAATAAATTTGACATATCAACTCTGGTGCTTTTAAGAGTTCTATATTACATTATACGTTTGAGTCAACTTTCTTTTTACATTATTTAATAGGGTTTCATTTCTACCTTCAACTTTTACTTTCTACCTAAGTTTTGATGTAATGTATTCAGTTATGTGCTGCAAGGGCACTTTTGCCTTTTTATCTTTTATTATGTTCTTTTAGTTTCCCTATAATATAAATACATTCTCTTGCACCCCCAGCCAGAACTTTTTGATTCCTCACATTCTTTTTTCTTCTCTCCTCCTTCCCTCTTCTTTTCTGGAAAAACATGGTATCAGAGCACGACAATACACTCTAGACCTATGTTTTCTGATGGAAGCCCTTAACTTCTTTCTCCTTCCTCGAACTGAGAATGGAAAGAGCGGCTTTGGCCCAGGACTAAGAACACTTTGGCTGTTTCTTTTCTTCCCTACCTTTGGTTGAGTGGCTTTTTAGAGGTTGGTGACCTTCTTTTTCCCTATACTATTTTTTTTGTTTGGGTTGGAACTCCAAAACATCTACTCGGACTGAACAGGGGTAAGATTTAAACCCTTTGTTCTGAGTAGATGTTTTGGAGTTCCAACCCATTTGGGCTGTGGGAAGGACAACAAAACATCCACTCGGACTTGATTCCAGCTGAAACAAGATGGGATGGGCTGACTCCCCACAGCCCATCCCCTCCATGAATTGGGAACATCTCCCCATGACAAGCACGGGAGATGTTTCCAATGCATGAGAAGATGGACTGTGGGGTGTGTCTGGTGCGCTCTATGGACAGCCCATCCGAACTCCCTGTCCCCACTCAAAATAACATTATCTTGGACGAGTTCAAATCAGCCCCCCACAACATCCCACAGCACATCCCCGCCATGTATTGGGAACATCTCCCGATTATGACATCATCGTTTCTCGTATTATCATTGGGAGATGTTCCCAATACACGACGGGGATGTGCTGTGGGATGTTGTGGGGGGATGATTTGATCTCACCTCGGACTGGGTGAAGACCTGAATCACCTGACCCACTAACAAGCACATGTCGATCCAGATTCCTTTCCTTAACTGCTGGATCATTCTTCGAAGCATCTGGATAAGCCCTCCTGCCACCAACCGTCTCTTACACATCAGAAAACCATCCAGACTGTGCACCAGGAATCAAGTCAAAACAAGTACCAGGAACAAGGGAATCGAGCCCTAAACAGTTTGATCCTCTCAATCCTTCTTTAATACGGGGATATTCTTCTGATATTCTTAACTTGAATACATATAAAAATGCACAATTGGTAAGTCTAACTATGCTTAGGCAAGGGGGATTGGAGTCTAAAACTGGAAATATGATGGGATACCTTTCTAGAGTAACTTGACTGGGGGTGTACATGGTCATCATTTTATATCTCCTTTTCCTTCCATTCTGTTTTTATATATCCAAGTACTATGTCCAGTAGAGCATTAATTCTATCTTCTTATGCTTACTTTGTGTAATGTAGTGGCTGGAGCTGGGCTAAGTGGGATGAAAATGGCTAGAAGAATTGGAGATGTTGATGAATTTGAATTCAAAGCTATTGGACCGAATCATAACCAAGGAGTGAGTTATTTTATTTTTTTGGTTGGTAACAGAGACTTTATTGATCATGAAAAAATAATATAATGTGCACAATATTATGCCTTGTATCCCTTAATTTTAAGTGTACTCCTGCTGCCTAACCCTTAATACATCATTACAAGACAAGCTCCCTTAACTGGGTTGTTCTTGACTTGTTGTTTGTGGGATTCCCAAGGATTTCATCTTGACTTTTAACTCCAAAACCAAGTTTTTTATTGGAACAGGGCTTCTCCTTTATGTGATTTATCGCTTGATCTTGTTCTTGATGAACTTTCTTATTGTCAGCGTCTAGCTATTAGCATCTTGATTTCTGGAATTGCCTTTGAAGAGGAAGATTTTATAAGGCCTTGGGAGGGACTAGAGGACAACTTGGAGAGGTAGGCCAAATTTACAAACTCTTTTGATATTCCTTACTTTTAATGTCTTTGTCTCCTTTCTCACCATGTAGTTCTACATGATAAATTTGTCTTGATCAATTTTTTAGTATTTCTTAGAACCAAGTTTGCTCCAACGAATGTGTTTGTGAATTTTATATAGCTACTGTAGCTTTGTAAATAGATATTGTATATTCTTTTCAATCATCAAATTACTGATCAAAAAAGTTGTTAGTGTTTTTTCTCTTTCATCATGTTCTTTCTTCGTTTATTGAATCACTTCAAACCACTCAAAGCATGAAATACATATATAGTTTCATTTTTCCATATTTGTGATATCTTTCCCATTGCTGTACTATTTCTTGTTATTTTTCACAACAAGTGCAACTGTAGAAGAAAAGATTTTAGACTTTTACTTGGAAAATGGTAGCCCAATGATGGACAAGGTAATGCAATGAACCAACTAGTATCAACTATATGATAATTTCCTTGGTTTTATATGTTCTTTGGATATTATTAACCAACAATTTACCTAGAGAAAATTATCAAGTAACCTCTTAGTTTTACCTAGAAAAGAACATAAACTGTCCAGGTCCAGACCTAATATCCTCCATCAATACATATGACTGCAAAATTTGTGACTTTCCATGATATTATTGCTTGGACACATGCATGCAGAATATGTCACTTTCCATCCTTTAGGCTATGTTTGGTTTGAAGGAAAAGGTAGGTAAAGGAAGGGAAAGACAGGGAAACCAATACAAGGGTTGTAAAAGTTTTCCTATGTCTCCCTTCCTTTCCTACATTTTCCTTCAAACCAAACATAGCCTTAGAGTTTGCACCTATATTCTCCTAAATGAATTATTTGGGCACATTATTTACATATTTCAGTTAGCATATTATTTTGTGATTATCAAAGTGCAGCATCCTTGTGTTGAACTGGTTTGTTCTTGGGACACTAATAAGGTGACTTGGTTGTAGGTTAGCAACAGATTGGGGAGAGTAGCACTGTTCTCTCATTTATCCCTGCGATTTCTTTCATTCTGTTGTATGATAAAACTACTTTATCCTTTACTGATTAAAAAAGATAATGCGCTAGGTTAAAGAATCATGTATTCTTATCTAAACCAAATTATTCCCCTTGTCATGCAAGAACATTCTGAATAATGTTTGAGATGATGCTGATTCTGTTTGATCTGTTTGTATACACAAGATTCTTTGCCCATGTGATAGGACTTTCATGAGCCTAAGAATCTTGCTTTATACATATATGGCAATGTTGCTTCAAATTTGTAGGTATGTGCTACAATGGGAGTCTGAGAATCTGATTGCAGTGAGCAAGGCAATCCAGGATTGGCTAACTTCAAGTAATTGGATTGGACAACCTCATAATTGTTCCCATTTAGGGTACTGTGATCATCACCATCATGTGATATGTTGACATTGTTTCTACCTGCTGCAGAAATCACATCGGAATTGATGAAACGAGGTGCCATGATGACTGTATTGAGCTCACTGGTAACTGCACTGGCATGGCCAACAGCCTTACTTGCGGCTACTGATTATATAGACAGCAAATGGACAATTGCAGTGGACAGGTCTAAATCCATGATGATGTTGTATGAATATCACTATAAGATGGGAATGGAGCTGCATACTGTATTTCCATCCTATCTCTAGTAGTTCCCTGGACAGAAATGCAGCATTGGGAATTATGATCAACTATGATTATGGATTTCTTGTTAATTTAATTTTCTGTATTTTTCAGATCAGACAAAGCAGGAAAACTGCTTGCTGAAGTTTTAGTGAAAGGATTGCAGGGGAACAGGTATCTGAATCCTATCAAATTTAAGGAAATTCATATTATGTTCCTTGAAAATAAATTTTGATTAATATATATTAATCTACCATTCCCTGGCTCTGTGAAATTCTTCAGACCAGTGACACTTATAGCTTTTTCACTGGGGGCCCGTATAGTCTTCAAATGTCTCCAGTGTTTGGCTGAGATAGAAGATAATGGAGGTATTGGCAACTTTAAAGAATTTCATTATTTGATACATTGAATTGATTGAATTGTTCTAAAATAATTCCTGAATTTCAGCAGCTGGAATTGTGGAAAGGGTCGTTCTTCTTGGGGCACCAATTTCAATAAGAGATGAAAACTGGGACACTGTTAGAAGGGTATTGGAAACTTTTTGCCAGTTCCAAATCCTCTACTGGCTAGTGAGGAGAGGATCCTCTACTCTACTGGCCCAATGATATCATGCCAACTCATTGATGTTAAGGTGGTATTCATCAAAATTCACCGGAGAAGGGGGTTTATTGGTCAAAGCCCTTCTGGTATCATGTCTTTCTGGTATTAGTGGTTATTTCTTTACCCACTTACTACTCAATGAGTTGGCATGATATCATTGGGCCAGTAAAGGATCCACTCCTCATTGGCTAGTAGAGGATTTGGACACTTTTATCTGTCTAACTGCTTTATCAAACAATTTTGTATTTGATCCATACTCTCTGGAATTCCTTTTAGACCTAATGATGCTCTGCAGATGGTGGCTGGGAGATTTGTGAATGCTTATTCCACCAACGATTGGACCCTTGGAATCGCTTTCCGTGCAAGGTATGTGTGAAAAAGTTGAGAAAAGATTTGTGGAGTGTTTTGCCAACAGGGTATCTCAATAGAATGTTATGGTACATATACACTGCATAATTCAGCTCAACAATGCCTTGCAACTGAGTCCAAATATGCTGTGTCAACTATGTTGTGGACTTGGCTGTGTTCTCAACCAGATCTGGACAACTGTCAGTCTTCCCTTTTACTTGTGTTTTGTGTTCTTGCATGCATGCAAACACTGGTAACGTACTCCCTTAATGGCTTAATTATATTTATTTTCATTATATATATAGGATGAACCCAAGACCAAAATCAGTTGGCAAAGACTAAGGAAAATAAGGAGAAAAATGAAAACAGAGAATTTCAAGAAAACACATACAAATTTATGTGGTTTGGCTTATAGCCTACATCTACGAGCAATAGAGGAGCAAAAGTCCACTATAGAAAGCGGAAATTGAGAATACAATGTTGTGCAAATTCTCTCTCTCTCTCTTAGAAACCCTAAACCCCAATATACCCAAGCTCTAACTTACAATACTTGCTCACTCTTATCTTCTAGTGCAAACCAAAGATTACATAAAAGAGAAAAATCCCAACACCATAACATAATGTATTTGGGTTGGACCCTAGTGATCAAAGCCCTCAGCTTCCACCACAAACCACTATGAAACATTGCCTTCAAGTTTTTCTCCACATGGAGTAGGTTACAACAAAAAATTCAAGACACAACTCAACAAATCTCCACCTTGACTTGAGTTCCAAGATTCCATCAAGCATCACAAATGGCAACTCTCTCTCTACCTTCGCTACATAAGCCCCAATGGGCATAACTCAAGTCCTTCAAACACCAATCAAGTCTAAGCAATGCTTGAGCTTAGCCATAGGAAAAGGCTTTGTTAACACATCAGCTAGGTTGTCTTCAATTCCAATCTTCTTCACTAAAATATCTTCTTGTTCAATATTGTGAACAAAATGATACCTAACATCAATGCGCTTCATCCTCTCATGATACATTTAATTCCTTGTCTGATGAATAGCACTGTAACTATCACAATAGATGACAATCACCATTGTACCCAAACTAAGCTCACTAAACAAACCTCACAACCAAATAACTTCTTTAATTGCCTCAGTCACTGTCATATAATCAGCCTCAATAGTAGATAAAGCAATTGTGGATTATAGAGTAGCTTTCCAACTAATAGTACAACCACCAATAGAAAACACATAATATGTAAGTGAACTCCTCTTATCAAGATCATTAGCATAATCTAAATTAACATAACCCATCAAACTATCACTACTCCCAAACTCCAAGCAAGCATTTAGGTGTCTTTCAATGACCTGAGAACACCAAGAACACCAAACACAAGTGGAAGGACAGTTGCTTGGATCTGATTGGGGGATTGGAGAGACAGCCAAATCACAGCATAGTGGAAATAGTGAACACAGCAAAATCTGGAGTGGATGATTCATCAATCTGATGATTAGGATGAGTCATCAATGATTATTGAAATATTGAGGTTGTGGCATTTCCCAGAGCTATTAGATTAGTAGTGCTTTATGCCTTTGTCCTTTCAACATACTTAACAGGATCAGTTTCATAGTGCAGTCTTCTTAGTGAAGGATTAGCTGGAATTCAACCTGTGGAAGTTCAAGGGATAGAGAACGTATGCCTTCTCATTCTCTCATAGTCGAACACCATAACCAAACGTCATAACTTTCAAATTCCTGTTGAATGCTTCAGAAAATAATGGGTTTAATTTTGTTTCCTTAGGTTGATGTAACAGAGCTGATTGAAGGTCACTCCTCGTACCTCTGGACAACACAAGAAATACTGGAACGTCTTGAACTGGATACGTATTACCCTATCTTCAGGAGTTCGGACAAGTCTGATGAAGAAAAAAATGAAAAAATTTAGTTACTCCCACTCCGACCTGCAGCAAACTTTCTCGCTCTTCCTGAAGCATCATGCGGCACAAAGAATGAATAGTATGACAAAGCGTGCAATTCATATACCAGATTGAGACAATTTTTCAATATGTCAGCCTTGCACCACTTGCCACTTGGCCATTACTTGCTTTCATTGATGTTCTCTGGCGTCCCAAAAATCGTTTTGCCTTGCTGCCTTGGCCAAATCAATTTTCAAAAGTTAATTAATAATAAAGTGAAAATTAATTACAGTCGCTTAGAATAACAGATCTACTAGTTAGGTCAAATCTTCTGGGTTTTTATTTTTTTGTTAAGCTAAGTACCCTTTATGTTTTAGCAAATGGATTAAAATTTATTCTACTGTTTCAAAAAGGGAGAATGACTAATCAGTCCAGCTCAGAATAATGGTAAGATTGAAAAGATTGAAAAGAATATTTTATAGAATGCAAAATCTTATATTTTGTATTATTTTATATATATTTATACTGTATATATTTGCATTTGTAGTAACAAATTCTTTGAGAGCAGGGAATCGTTTTCATCAGGTGGGATGGAGACTCAACTCCCATTTTACAGGATTTGTAGACCTGATGCATAGGTAAAGTGCTAAATACCTTGGATACATCAGGAATAATCCAACACCTCTTCAAGGCATTCCTTCAATGTGCATTCAAACAACGATCTATCCATTTGTTATTCGTTGTTCTTCTGGGTTTCTTGTCATAAAGAGGAGCGCAATCTTATGGACCCTTCGGTTCATAGGAAGTGTGCACCTGCTAATGAAAAATGAACACGTCGTTTTAGTAAGCTAACAGGAGTTTAACAGGGCTGCTCGGTTAATAATGGTCTAACTGGTTGAATCATTAAAAGATGAAAAAAAAATAATAAAACCCAATAATACTTCCTTTTCTCATTCGAATTCCCTTCTCACTATCTCTCAAGTCTCAACATACTGCAACCGACGACCAGAGACTCACGATAAATTCTTCTTCTCTTTGTCCTCCATCTTCTTCTTCCCTTTTTTTTATTCTTTTTCTTATTTTTATCGACAACAATCCACTGAAATCTTAAGGCTGTGCCTCAGAACCCCAACACCCTCTGTCTGATCCAGCAGCAAGGAATCAATCGCTACTAGTTGTTGTCGGAGTAAAGTAAGCGTAACCTTCAAAATTAAGATCATTAAAGTAGGTTAAGCTCTGACATTTGAGGGGGAGAAAAGGAAAGCATGAATAAAGCCGAATTGCTACTTGAGGTATTGGGAGAGAAAATCCATGTAGGGATAATAAAAAAAAATTAGTTGTTTGTCATTACCTTCATTTCTTGTTTTGTCTTATTCCTTGAATAGCAGAAAAAGGGCAATCAAAACTACATAGTTAAACCTCATTTCTAGTAGCTTTAAAGAATTCCACAATCCTCGCTAAGTACATTTAGATTTTCCAAGAGCATTTAAGCACTTGAAATTATGGACTGAAAAATCCAAGAAGCAATTAGCGATTACCTGAAAGTTTGAATACTAGAGCAGAATATATATTGATCTCATGATGCATGAAATCAGCTAATATGTCAATGGCAATGCAAGAGCGAGTGTTCCGATTGATTTTGGCCTTCTTCGTTGTTTTTTGATTTTTCTTTTTCTACCTATACATCCTACACTTCAATTCCATCTGTGACAGGAAGAGAAGAAGATTATGATTTTACCGCCGGTCACCGATCGTCGATCTCCCAATTTGGTTACTGTGGTTTGATGCTGAAAGACGGTAAGAGGGGAATTCAAATGGAGGAGGTTGTCGTTTACTCGTTTTTTAACAAAGCAATTCCTGCTAACTTAATAAGGTGACGTGCTCATTTTTCATTCACATGTGCACGCTTGGCAAGTTGGCAATGAGGCATTATTGGCATAAGTGTCCAATTTAGCCCTTTTGAACTGATAAAATTCCATGGTTGAAGTTGGAGCTTGTAATTAATGATCATTTAGGATAATTCTACAAATAATGATCATTAAACAAGAATTTAGAATTCTAGCTCGCAAAATTTGGATGATAATGATGATGAGATGCAAATTATACGAGCTCTCGAAATTCAGATGGGTTGATCAGGTGCTCTATAACAGGATAACAATGTTATTAGTTTGGTTTAAGTCCACAGGCCTGAACTCTGAAGGGTTTGAATCTGATGGCTGCTCTTATTGTTGTTTTGGGTTGTAAAAGGATGATGCAGCTCATTTCAGTTTTGGGTGACTTGGAAATTGAAAAGTGTCTTATAAACCCACCGATCCGTTTGAAACTGAAATGGGATCAAGCCCCTAATAAGTAGCAAGCCATTCTGATTATCTGAATATGTGGTGGTTGTTTCTCAACTTCATTCCCTTACAAGGAGATATTTTGCTTGCAAGTTCAACCATACTTAGATAATCTGAGATACTCAACTAATTCCACTACCTGATTTTGCAATGCTTTTGGTTTTTGCAATGCTTCTTCCAAGTGTTCAACTCTTGTCTCCATTCTGTTGGAACAAGAGATCTCTTGCTAGTTCTGCCACTAAAATGAATTGGATAAACCGATCCTTCCAGCCATAGTTTGGAAGGAGTACAAATGCAAATATGTAGAGTGCAAAACTGTGTATTTTGTATGTATTTGCACTGTACATGTTTGTATTTATACTCCTTTCAAACTGAGCCTCAATGTAAAAATCTAACATGTATGCAGTTTAACATCAATTTACACCTCTACCATTCTTTCAAAAAAAGAAAAAGGATACTTCTACCAAATGTGTGGAAAATGAATCGAAGTGCAATATAACATTGGTCTGATTTTTTTTTTTTTTTGTGTGTGGGTGGGTGTGGGTAAAACATTGGTCTGATGCTTATACCACAAACGAACGTGGCCTAAAGAGTTTTCTTCTTAAAAATATTATAGAATTCTATTTTATACACACATAGAATGCATGGTAGACTTTTCTTATAAATAGGGCACCGGAGCCCACTTTTGGGGGAATTTTTGAGACATTCTCACACATTTTTGCTCACTTTTCCTTACAACCTTTCCACCAACTCAATGTATAGTATTGAAAAATCGATAACTAGCCAACCGGTATTCATTCAAGATTCAAATTTGACATGGGCTTCTGATAAAAGCTATTTTTCCACTGTGGCTCAAATTTAGGTTTGAGAAGCTAGATCTAAATGGGTTTATCTTTTTATTTTTATGTTTTTTTTTTTTTTTGTAAGAAGATCTAAATGGGTTTGGCTTCTTATCTTGCTGCTTGCCCCATATGTCATGCATTGGGATCCATCATGTAAGTACAGGTTTATAGTTCTAAGGGAAACTATCTGAAACAAGGGGTGTTCACGGTTTAGTTGACCCAACGGTGGGCAATTTTCTAAAACTGAACCGGTCCATAGGGTTTTTTAGATTTCCCGAACTGAAACCGAATATAATCAATCGGTTGACCAATTTTAGTTTTTTATAATATCTAATATATTTACATAAATACTATTTATATATTATAAATATTATATATAATATATATACCAGCCGGCCTCAATTTTTCAAAAATATATACCAAATCGATCATTCAATTAACTGGTTGTTTTGGTTTGAATTCATCGATTCAATTTGATTTTTTGGTTTTTTATGAGCACCCCTATCTAAAACCTCTCCTAAATTGACATTATGAAACTTTTATTGGTTTTTGGATACCTCCAAATAACAATCCTGGAAGAAGGTTTTGTAAATCATATACTTCTCTTATGTTTTCTTACAGTCTAATGAGAAGTATTTTTCAAATAACAAAAAAGACTTAAGGGATTTTTGGACTGCACTCTCCCTTAAAAATCTTTTTTGCAGACCCCTCCTAGTCTACTAGTAACCCCCCCCCCCCCTCCCTAAACCACACCCTGCCCATGAATTTGGCATCAATCCACGGCAGGATTCACTTCACCCCTAGGTGGAGCTAGGATTTTCTAGGGATGGACTGAATCATAAAAACCCCAGGACCCAAACCCATTTGATCTATCCTGATTCCTGAAACATCTCTAACACATGCTAACCATCCCACTACCCTAAAAAATGTTCTACAGCTAAATGCATTTTTGCCGATTATGTTCTTAGAATCACACTCATTATTACAAGAATAAAGAAGCAACGATTCGCATTGATTTAACTATCCATTTAACTAAATCCAAACATTTGAATTTTTTTTGGGTATTGCATACTATACATTAGTAAACGGAGTAGGGGTAAGGCAGAGTAGGGATGACGTGGGGCCCATTGGCCATGCCATGGAGAGTGGAGACCATGTGTTCCATTCCATGGGTTTGAACTTTGAAACCACATCTCCTATTTGGTGGGGATGTCAAGTGCCTATCCAAACAATTGGGTCATTGGCATGTTAAATCTAGTTGCATGGTAATAGGAAATTAAGTTATATATGAGGGGGTGCAAGATTTCCTTGAGAAGCCAAGCCCATAGACGTTAGCATGGCAATCTCCATTTTTTTTTTTTTGAAAAAAGAAAATTATGAATAGATCGTGACAGAATATGAAATGAAGTACTATATTAGAGGGGGTGCAAGATTTTCTTGAGAAGCCCATAGAGTTTGGCAAGTTAGCATGGCAATCTTTTTGTTTTTTTTTTTTTTTTTGAAAAAAGAAAAGGGAAAACTCCTGATCAGTACCTTGTATTTTGGTTAAATTGATAATTTGGTCCTCGAACTTTAAAATGCAACAATCCAGTACCCGAACTTTCAAAATGTGACAATCCAATACCTGTGTACGTTAATCAGCCATTAACTGACATTTGAAAAGTCAAAAATGCCCTAAGAATGCCATCTAATTCTCTTTATCAACCATCCAAACATTGACAATAAAATGAAAAGTCCCAAATTTTAGATTCTCCTAAATAGTCACCAACTTTTTTGAATAGAAGAGGCTAGGATTTGGGACTGTTCAGTTTTTTGTCAACATTTGGATGATTGAAAAAAGAGAATTAGACGGCATTCGAAAGGCATTTTTGACTTTTCAAATGTCACTTAGTGGCTGATTTAACAGACTGGCTAAGGGCAGGTACTGAATTGTCACATTTTGAAAGTTTGAGTATTGAATTATAGGATACCAATAGAGAATTTTGAAACTTTATCGTATTTTAAAGTTTAATGACCA